GCTACACGGGAGTCTGAGGTGGAAGGACTGCTTCAATCTAGGTGATGTAGGCTGCAGTAAGATGAGATCATACCACTGCACTCCAGCCTGGGCAACAGAGCGAGACCTCATCTCAAAAAAAAAAAAAAAAAAAACCCAAAGATAAAAAATAAAAAGAACAAAGGCAAAAATGAATGCACTTGCAGATGATCAGAAACTGAGAGGGTTTGCACCAACAAAACTTCAAAAAGTAAAATTTAAAGGATTTACTTCAGGCAAAAGGAGAGTGATCCTATTTGTGAAAGCTGAGATGCAAGAAAAAAGATGAAGAAAAATGGTAATTGTACGGCTGAATCTAAACTAATGTTGACTGTATAAAGCAATTTAGTAATGTCTCCTTGGGTTATAATGGAAAAGATTAAACAACATACACTACATTAAGGCATATAATTTAGGGGATACATGATTAAAGTACTCCAAAGTTCTTATATTTTAAGGAAACAGGGTAAAGACATTTTTAAAAATATTTAAAGATATTGGAGTTTCACAAGATAAGGACGCATGTCCAAAATTTTGAAGTAACCACTAAAACATTAGAAATACAGTATATAGGTGAAGAAAATCAGGACGAGAATAAAAACAAGCCCTAGAGAAGCAAGAAAGGAAAGAAAAAAAAATAGGCAGGACAAATAGAAATAACAAAATAAGATGGTAGAAATAATTCCAGATATATTAGTAAATATAATAAATGTAAATGGACTAAATGCTCCATGTAAAATACAAAGATTATTCTTTTAAGAAATCTTTTTGTCATGACACATTTCGAGTATACAGAAAAGTGGGAGGAACAGTACAAGAAAACCATACGCCTGTGATGTAGTCAGCCATTGTTAGCAATTTGCCATGTTTGTTTCACCTCTATAGGTATGTATAGGAGACTATTAAGAACACCTATTTTACTTCCACAGCATACATAATAATAATGAAATACAATTTAAATGGTAATCCTGATGTAGAGCGTCCACTTTTATGTCAGGCAGATCTGGATTTCCCAGCAATTTTTAATTATTTAACTTACTTGTGTGGTTACGTATTCAACAGATGTCTCTTCACTAGGCTACTGTAAGAGGGTTGGAATCAGGTTAGCTTTTCTGATCATTGTATTTCTAAATATTTGTTGCATAAACAAATCGAATTTATTAGTAAATAATTCAGCACAGTGCCAGTTGCATAGTAAACATTTAATGTAGAGTAGCTTGTATTTATTGTAGTTACTGTTGTTATTGAAAGCATTCAGCAGAGTGGCACAACATAAAAAGGCAATAATTGGTTAATTATTAATATAATTATTAAATAATTATTATTTACAAGATGTCACAGTACCTGGCACATATCACTCACTCATAAACATCATGTTTATACTAAGTACTCTCACTATGATTCAAAGTCTCTAACAGTGCCTGGCACTACATATGCAAGAGAAAAGCGGAAGTTTATTCTTACTAGTTGTTATTATTGAATAAAGCATTTAACACGAGACTAGCCCCCATTGGTCCCTTAATAGTTTTCGCCGTGGCTGTCATCATAGCTGGACTACAGACCCCGCCTCCTGAGCTGCGCGAAGCCCCGCCCCTTGCTTCTTCGCAGTCCTGCCCCTGTGGCGTCTGCCGCGCCTGCGCACTGTCCCGGGAGGGGCTCCACGCGCGCAGCTTTCGTCCCCGCCCCTAGAGCCGGCTGCGCAGGGCGCAGCTTCCCGCCGCCCGAGCGGGCCAGCCCGCTGCGTGCGTGCGTGTGTACGCCTCTGCGTGCGTGCGTCCGTGCGTGCGTGCGTGCCGTCAGCTCGCCGGGCACCGCGGCCTCGCCCTCGCCCTCCGCCCCTGCGCCTGCACCGCGTAGGCTGACCCCCCCGCTCCGCGCGCGCACCCTGTTGGCGACCCCTCCCGTGCCCCGACTGGCCCCCGCCTTTTTGTAAAACTAAAAGCGGGCGCAGCATTAACGCTTCCCTCCCCGGTGACCTCTCAGAGGTCTCCCCGCCAAAGGTGCTCCGCCGCTGAGGAACATGGCGAAGGTGGAGCAGGTCCTGAGCCTCGAGCCGCAGCACGAGCTCAAATTCCGAGGTAAGCCCCGGAGGCCGCCACCTTCTGGCCCACGGCCCCCGCCCCAGTGCTGAAGGGACTGAGTCGGGCGCGGCGGGTGACGTCGGCCCTCGTCCCCACCCTGACGGCGCTGTCGCGGGGGGCGGCGGGGCCCGGCCGGGCCTTGGCGCTCGCGGCGCGCCCCAGATCTGCCTGGAGCTGCCGCGACCCGAGACGGCCGAGAGGACTGGTGCCAGAGCCGGGGCTTGCGCCGCCTCCCCGACCCTCAGCTTCCCGGGACCTGCCTTCGAGGCACTTGTCACATTGCCTTGTAACTTACTGACGAGTTTATGGTCTTCTGTAGTGTGAGCCTCCGCCGCTGCCGTTGCCTGGAAGGTTCTTCCCCAGCTCTGTGACAGTGTGGACCTCAGGGCTTAGCTGAGATGTCACCTGCTCAGAGAGGCCTGCGGTGACCAGCCAGTCCAACGTACACACCTGCTGTCGTTCCCCATTCCGTCACCCAGTTTCGTGGTCAGCACGGCACTTTTCATGCCCAGAATCACTGTTTCAACACTAGAAAGGAAACTCCATGAGGACAGGCTCTTGTCAGTTCACCACTGTTTACCTAGCACACATTAGATGCTTAGTAAATACCTGTTGAGCCAACAAATGAACTTCCTAAGGACTTCCGATGGGATCGAACCCACTTTACTTTCACTGCCTCCCTCATGCTGTCTCCTGGGTGCTGCTGAGGGAGGCTGCCGGGGTGCTGGGATCCTTTTTCTTACCAGAGCCGCCTGGAGCAACACCTGCGTTAGTGGGAAGCCGTGACCTTGGTTTCTCCCAGACGCTGTTACTTTTGTCATTTGTGCCTTTATGTTTTCTATGTTGTTGTTTTTTTTTTTTTTTTTTCCTACCTTCACCAGGACCACGAGGCAAAATGTTTTTGTCTGACTTGCTCATTCCTTCTTTTTTGTGTGTATCCAGTAATGTGGAAGGCACTGGGGAGGTAGGTGATGGATGAACAAGACAGACAAGGCCTCTACTCTAGTAGAACTTACCTTCCGACGAGGGCAGAAAAACCAGCACACAAAATCATTGCAGATAGTGCTAAGTGCTGTGTAGGAAATGGAAAAGTCTGACTCCATGAAAGTGTATTTTAGATCGGAAGTTAAGGTTACCACTGTATGGCTAGCACTGGGCTCACAGTAGATGCTCAACTGGTAGTTACGAATGAATGAATGGCCGGAGACTCTCCAGTTTCTATGTCCTGTTGAGAAGTAGTGTAGGGTAACTTACCCAAAGTTAGCCAGTTGGCAAATGGTACATTTGAACCCAGATGTCAGACTTCACGCTCTTAACCATTATGCTATCTGATCTCTGGGAAATACTCCAGAACTGTGGCTGTTACTTTGCCTTCCATGTGAGCAATGTGAAATAACTCTGAATTTATAGAGAACCAAAGGTTTTCCAACTGAAATGAAAAAAAAACAACCCCACAAAAACCTGGATCATAATTCCTGGATAGTACTTGAGCTTTCGTGATGTTCTCCTGGCTTTCTGGAGAAGCCAGACTGGACAGCAAGTCCAGGTAGCTAAAGTGAATGTGGTGAGCCATGGTTTCCACTTGAGTTGTCTGAAGTTCTGGCTTCTCCGGTGAATTGGGGTGTTCATTCACTTAGTCCAGAAACATTCAGTGAATACCTGATCTGTGTGTCAGATACCAGGAGAAGCCAAGTCATATCAGTTGTACTCTCCCATTTTCCCCTCAACATCCTCCCAGTACTTTAGGGAATGGGGGCAGATAAGAATAACAGCCAGGACAGGTCAATGATGTAGGATAATCAGGAGTACTCTGGGAGCATTGAGGTCAGCTTCTGAAAGAGGTGTCATTTGAGCTCAGTTAAAAAGGTGAAGTAGA